AAGAGACACTTGGACACAAACCACCAGTGCATCGCAGCTGCAGCGCGGGGATTCAGTGCAGCCCCGGCAGGCTGGAGGCGAGAAACCCCAACCAAAACCCAGCCCCATCTCCGCCCTGGGCAGCCCCTTTGCCTTGCATGCAGGATGCTAGGTGAGGAGCAGACTTTGCTCCCCTGATTCCTCCTGCCAACCTCCAGCAGAGGGTATTTTCCCCTTCAATAATCATTTTATTCTGCAGTCCAAAGATGGACTGGACATTTTAGCCCCTTCCTCCCTTTTCCATTGCTACCTGCTGCTGTTGAACAGATGCATTGCAGAAGGATGGTGTGGATTTACTTAGCCGAGCACTTGGACTTGCAGCCCTGTCTTATTTGATCACCCTGGCTCCTTGCAGCCATGCACAGCCCTACTGTCCCCAAATCCAGCCAGGAGTGTCCCTTCCAGCACCCTCTCTCCATACTCCCCTCCGCTTTAGTGATACACATGCTCCAAGCAAGACTTCCCTCCTACCCCTACTCCTGACCAGGGAACTTCATCCCACGGCCTTTCTCCTTAGACTGCAGACCCTAACCCATTCCCCCACAGACTAACCCCAAGGCACATCAGGTGCAGAGCTGGGCAGAGGCAGCACCGCGAGCAAAGGGCACAGAGGGGGCTCAGCTCCCCCCGGCTTTAAGCCGGCACATCTGCGGCTGGGGCGCGTTCTGCAACTCGCCACCGAGGCTCTGCGCAGCAAACAAGAGGTTAAGCAAACAAGCCCTGAGCAATGTCTCCGGCTTGCCAGATGCCAAAAAGCTTTCAGCCGGTGACATTTCTCCTTCCCCAGCTGTAGGTTCATATTTTTAATGTCAGATTGCAAAAATAATGAAAAAAAAAGAAGAGGGGCAATGGTGGGAGAGAGGAAGGGGAAAAAGCAAATATTTAGTTCACAACTGCATGGGAAATGAACTGGAAGCTGGTGGTTTTGTGTAGTTGTCCCTGGCAAAGCTGGTTGTACACGCAAGGCCCTGAAAACCTGTCCTGACACCGGCAGAAGTGTGACCAGCAATGTCTCTCCCATGCCGACTCATGCGTTTTCTCCTATCTCACTTCATCTCTCACTAAGCTCGAGCAAGCCCATGCTAGTGCAGATTTATCGCCATCTGAAAAACATTAAATATCTCAGGGTTTCAAATATTTGCAGACAGCTGAAGAAGTGGCTGTGATGGAACTGTCTCTTTCTGGCATAAAGCTATCAATTTTCCATGAAAGCTGAGGCCTGGATTCTTTTTTTAAATATATATTTTATTTTTTTTACCCCTGGTAAAGCACTGAAACAAATGACTTATTCCCCTTTTAGCAAACGCGAGGGAAGCGGACAGTCATTACTACCAAATGTGTGCACACACAAGTAACTAAGGGAAAATAAATCCCATTTGAAGGTTAATTAACTAAGGCAGGGTCACAGCTTGACAATCTGCCCTCTGCAAAGGGGAAGCACAACATAGCAGGGTCTACGAAGTGGAGCCATAATGAATTGTGACTTAGGGCTTGTCTATGTGGGGAAATTACCACACAGCAAGCCACGGAATGAATTTATAGCATTCACTCTGCATTTATAGCGTTAGATCTTTTGTGCAGGCTAATTGGGCACTACTTTACCTCTGCTGCCTCCTGACAAGCGCTGCTTCCCACAGAAGCTCACTGATGCAAACCGAGTCCTTCCAGCTCCTTCCAGCGCCTGCCCTCCCAGCTTGGCATGGAGGAGGCTGACGGGTCCAAATTGGGAAATGAGGAAGGGAGGGTGGCCTCACACGACCGAGAGTCTGCATCTGAGCTCAGCATCCTCACAGAGCCCCAGAAAGCTCCCTTGCTTCTCCTGGTGAGCAAGCCCAGCAGACAAGGCCTTCAGGGATGCTCCAGTGATAGTCACACATCTAAGACTAGTCAAGATAGTAACTGCCAAGAGGGTTGGGGTAACTCTAATACACCATCACCACTGAAAAAAATAAACAAAAGGCACACAACAACTTTCTCCTGGCATTTGAGCCTTTTAAGGCACCAGGGAGCCAGGGATATTAACAGACATCATTAAGGATGAATGGAAGAGTTCACAGCCTGCAATAAAGAAGGCAGGTGACCTCCTCTGGGGGAATCTTCCACATCTTGAGGAAGAGCAAAACTCTGATAAGAAGCCACTTAAATCCACAGCACTTTCTGCAACACATGGTTATTCCAGGCCTCTCACACCCGCATACCAGGGATGTGTTTTCTGCCCAGCAGGGTCCCTGACACAGGTCAGCCAGGTTGGGACAAGCCAGGTGATGTGCTAAAGGCTCCTCCTTTTGGGACAAGAGTCCTTTAGAGGCAGCATCAGCCAGGAGCTGTGAGGAAATAAGCACCTCAAGCTTCCATAAGGTTGGCATCCAGCTACCAGCAGCGCTCAAGTCCTGGAGAAATCAATTGCAAGATGATATTCTATTTCAGTCCAGCAGAAGGTCCTTTTCACTGAGATGTGTAAACCCAGGACAGTTAAAAACATCATTGAGAGAGAAAAGTAGCCTACTTTTTCATAGATTTCTTACCAGTGGATTCTTTGATGTATAGATTCACACGCATCACTGTGGAGAGAGCTTACATCCCCATGCAGAAGTAGATGGTCACTTGTGTACATAAACCAGCCCAGGAAATAAAATAGGTATAAAGCTACATACTGTGCAGGCTGATCCCATGAGGTCACAGCCCACCGATGTGTGCATAGTGTCATATGTTTACCTACTAAAATATAAATAATATTTTATGTAGGAGTCCATTTACAGGGCAGTGTTTATGCAGAAATGGGAAGGCCTGTTGTACAGGAGAGAGGGCAGGTTAAAAAGCCTGTTGTTGCTACACTGATTTACAGGCTGCCCGAGTTAATTTTTATTTGAATATAATTACTTTCTGAGCTGTGGGTGGTCATTCACAAGTGAACACCAATATCATCATTTGAAAGCTTTTCATTTATTTCATGGGCTCATGTAACTGTGTATTAAATCCAAACACATGAAGTGGCCAAAACCAAAACATCCTTTCTAAATATACACGTATGGCACCTTTAGATAAAAGGCCGCAAGAAGCAGGCAAGAACCTCTACTCCTCAATCTGAAAAAGGCAAGAAAACTACAACAGATACATATCACAATTTGCATTACACAGATGCATCCTCTGAAGAATAAAGTTTATCAGCCTTCACCATGTCAGTGAAGGTGACTTGCACTGATGCTGGTCTAATCTTCGGACTCCCTTCTCACAAACCCCCACCCTCCTCATATTTCTATGCTATGTATGCTCATATAGTCTCATTCTTATTTTAAGAACATTAATATATACATTTGAAAACCCAAACCATTAAAAAGTAGTTGGCTCGGACTTTTACTGGAACACGTGCACAAATATGTTGTTTGGATATTTTTATGGCCATTAACTTTTCCATATATAACCCAGACCTCCCATTAGGTGTTGTGAACTGGATCTCTTCTTTACTTGCCAAGTTATATTTCAATTAAATTAAAGTCACCTTTGGTCCTAATGAACTCTTGTTTTTTGCCTAATGCCATGATTAATTCCAGCTGCAAGAAATACTATTAGCCTGGGTGGGTACTTGGTTGAAGATGCTGATTCTCCTCCAAAATTTACAGGTACCAGAGAAGTCTTCATAATTCATATTGCCAAGTGCTATTAATATTTGGGTAGTAAATAGAAGCCTGTCATAAAACCGGTCCCACCATTTTACTACATACAGTGCATAGCGTAAGCTACCCCTACAAAGGCAGATACCTGCCAGCTCACAGGGTAGTGAAAGAGGAGTTTTACAAACTCTGACTATAGACTTCAGCATCAAAATTCTGACTGTATCACTCCAATATCCAGAGAGGAGATCACAGCAAGCAACAAAACTTTTGGCTTCTTTTATATCACAGGCTTACAGGTGAATTTGCGGCCAATTCCTTTTCCATTCCCTGCCCCCAACCATAGCAAATCCATAAAGGTTGCCTCAGTATTCAAAACATGACCATGTTATCAGTCTTTTTCTTTTATTAGTGCCAGTGGCAATCTGATCCTATGACACAGCTTGGCCACTTGTTTCACACCTTCCCAGTTAACATAAGCTCCCTCCTCAATCATACTTACGGAGTCTTCCAAAGTGGGATAACTCAGCAAGTCTAGCACTACAGACTTAAAAAATAAAGCACTGTCCAGACTCTGTCCAGAAATGGAATAGAAATGAACAGATGAAGTATCTTAACTAAATGAAAGTGTTTGTCTTCTCCTCCCCAAAATCATGATAACAGAGAGAAAAAGAGGCTGTTGCCAGGACTCTGCTTTGGAATAGCATCTGCATAAGTTAATACCATTGCTGACATCTAAGGTAGTTCTTCCCCGATAATCAACCTGCAGAAAAAAAGTCTTAAGAAATGCCTTCTGTATTGAAACCCAGATGAATCAAAAATAATTCAAGCTGGATGAAGATTAAGGGTGAAAGAAGAATAACGGTTATGGGTCAAGAGAGGTTAGAGGAGCAGAAACAAGTTCTGCATTAGTCCAAGGTTCATCAGAACTGTCTTACTCATGCAGCAGTTCAACATAAATAACAGACTAAGTACAACATATGAAAAAAATAGGTTGTGTAATGGTCATATTCAGTTCTTACCATTTCCCTGGCATGCACTCACCTAGACCAGAACTGAATTGAGCAAGAGCAAAACACAGCCAAACCAAGCTACATAGAACTCCACAAAGAAATAGAAGTTCAGTTGGATTCAGACAAACCCAAGAATAACCATTACACTGTGGAAAGTATTTGCAGTGAAAAATAATTTAATGGCAAAGTGGCATTTCTGAGACTTCTATCCTTCTGAAAAGCAATACCAGTCCCACGTCAGAAAGTCTGCAAGAAAAGTTTCCATTGCTATAATTGAGCTTCTCTGTTGAGGTTGTATTGTTCCTCTTCTGCAGAAAATCTCAACAAAATTTCTATAGTTTAAAGGCAGTCAAAAAGCCGTCTTCTCCCACTTTGAGGTGGAACTTGTGGTCTCAGGTTATCTAAGAAATCTTTAAACTATAAAGTGCAGATCAAAGAGCCTGCATCTACACTGCTGAAGTCAAAGAACAAACCAAATGAGAAGTCCAAGCTGGTCATGTGCGCCAGCTTCAACAATGGAATAGCTAGAAAGTATGCATTGGCCAACAGGGACCATTGGGTGCCATGGGACCATTATAGGTGCCAGAGAAATAGTACAAGAAACTAGATTTGCACAGCAGGTTCCTCATCCAGATACATTTTTCTTCCTGAAAGATTTGTTACTGACTTGCAAAATCAGACAGAAGAAGCTGCAGAATCAAGACAGATCTCCAAGGCAGAACCCAAAAGAAAATCCAACATGCTCAAGCTGGCTCTTTCCCTACTAGTGCCAATTTCTAACCCCACTTTGTTTCAGTCCTGTCTTCACTCCAGCAGCCAGAAAGCTGTGTCCCCAGACTGGTACAGCAGGAATCGAGAACAAGAGCATTCCAGGCTCAGAGCACAAGGCAGGAGAGAGATGAGGCAGCATTGGTGTGAGCTCACCACTCACCCAGTTACTGGAAGGTGCTTTAGACAGCACTATAGGGAAAAGCCTAAAGCTTTACCATGATATCTGTAGGAAGACAGAAACATAAATCAGTGTGGTTATCAAAATACCCCCAGAAGTCAGTCCCAGTAAATGCAAGCTCACCTTCTCAAAGAGGCATGGCCACAAGGGAGGCCCTGTTTCCCAGATCTGTGCTCTTAGGGTACTAACACATGAGAACTATTAGACAGGACTATCCTGTAAGACAGTTAAACACAATTCTTTTATCAGGTATAGGTCTAATATCCACACTAGTATAACACAGTGATGTCATTTCTCAGGCTTATTTTTCTAAAGTAAAGATATTGAACTCTCTTCACTTAGCCCTATCAGTTAACTCTAATGAGTTAATGAACTGATTTGGTTGGCTTCTCCAGTTTCCAACAGAAGTGTTAAATCTTTTGCCCAGCTTCTATCCCCTGTTGAGTCTTTGCTGAATTCACAAAATAAAATTGCTGTCAAACAGACATGGACCACTAACAACAGTCATAGCTCAGAATAAGAGGCAATTTGTGCATGCTCCTGCCCCGAGAATCATGAGGAAATCAGGAAAATGAGATACCACTTGGGACAAGGGTATGAGATGTGAACATCGCAATGGTATCGGTGTCACTAGATTCATTGCTCAGGAAAGCCTTATTTTCCTTAAATTGCAATTGTCTTGTATTTCAGGAAAAGGGTAAGATGTAGCTTTACTATTTGAACGGGCTTTTTCCAGGCTGCAGCTCTGGAGTTTGTGTGTCAAAGAGCTGGTCAAGAGATTGCAAAACAGTTAGTATCATTTCCAGTAGAAGACATCCTTCATAGGTATAGGGCATCATCTCTGCTCTTTGTTTCCAAAATCAAACACACCAGAAGTTTTCTACTCACCACCCCTGACCACCACACACACAGTAATGCCAGAACCAATGTTGCCTTTGACCTTAAATTAAATAAGGCCAGAGTAGTGCCCATTTTTCTGGGCTCTGATCTCCAGGGTATAGAGCTAAAATTGCCAGAGACTGATTCTTTTTGTAAAAGCCACATCCCATTTTGCTGCTGAGTCTTGGCCCAACAAAACTTGATCTCTGGCACATCTTCTCCTCTTCTCCACTGCTTAAATATCACTGACACATATAATTAACACCAGGTCAAACATGCCACTCCAACATTTTAGAGAATCTGGTTTCAGCTGCTGTACTGAAGCTCTCTGATTGTGCCAAAAATGGGTAATAGACACCAGGACATAGAGCGGGGTCAAGAAACATCCGTAGAAAGTTTATTTCACTCTATCAGATGTTAATCCATATTCTACCAGCTAATGGAAAAGTAGTTGGTTGGGATTACTCAATGAAATAAAGCTTGTTTTCACACAAAAAGCTCTTATTTTATATCTAGGATAAAATATTAGATAGACCTAGATGAACAACTGCCAAGCCAAGCTAAATTTGAATCTAAAGCTAAAGAGACTGTTATCTGGATCCTGAAAGTTTGTCAGAGAAACAAATCATCCAGAAAAAAATTCAGCCTTAAATTCCTTCCAGGCCCGCTTGAGTCCCATTGACAAATCTTTATTCCTTCTCAAAAAAAAAAAAAAAAAAAAAAAAATCTGGACAGCATTGAACACCTAGACCAAATAGGTGAGACTATACAAGGAAATATCAGTAGAGCATGATGTTAACATGAGGAGCAAACCACTTCAACACCTAGTAGCAACATATACATGAGTAGCCATCCAAGACTTTGGGACAAAGACAAGGAATTCTAGATGAAGTTTCTGTCTAGAACTGCATGAACAAAGCACATTAGATACTGAACATAGGTTCTGCTGTAGTTGTAGTCAAGCCCATCAGGAAAGAGAAGTTCCCAGGTATCTCAGATGCTGCAAAAATCTCCTTCCCCTAAAGCAAAAGGAGCATTTCTAAACTTAGTTTCACAGATCCAGAACCAGCTTGTTGGATCAGTGCTTGATTACATTACTAGTTACACCTGACCTTCACAGTTTATTCATCCACCATGAGAAATACCTGCAGCAAGCACTTGTGTCTTTTAAAAAAACACATGCACAAGTCCACCCTTCAATTACTGCTCTAGACACCACTGAAAGGCCTCCTTTCCCACTCCTGCTCTCTTCAAGCAAGTCACAGGCCCACATATATCATTCAGTAGCTTTCTTTGCAAGAGTAAACAAAAACACAAATTCCAATAAGCTTTTCACAATATTAAAACATATATCAAAATAACTTTGACTCTACAAACAAAGCACTGTCCATATCTCATCTCAAACCTCAAGCCTGTGTGGTGCTCTGTTCATCAGGTACAAAGTTAGCCATTACCAATATCACAAAGAACATATTCAGAACAAATTTGTAAAAGGACACATGAAAATTGATAACAGATTAAAACAGGGTGACGTTATGAGATATTCCACATAAATGCAATAAAATCTCCGGAAATGTCCTTACCTTGTAATCCAGGTGTAAGTATACGAACAAGCCCTGCTGTCCTGTCTGATCGCTAATCTTGCCTACCAGCATCCCAAAGGATCTGCACAAAAGACAGAGCAGAGAATAGTTTTAAGCTCCCCAAGATGCTCCTCTTCCCCTCACACCCCAAGTGTCTGTGCAACTTGCTATCATTTTTCTAAAGCAAGTCCTGGGAGGGGGGACGGGCTGGGGTGGTATATGAATCATGGAGAGACTTAAATGCAGCAGCCAGAACCTCATTGCAAACTGGCAGAGGAAACCAGGGCAGTTTCTCCCCTTTCCCAAATGACATCCCAGATGGAGTCTCCTCCTGGAGATGGAGGCTGACACTTTGGGCAGATTTCATTAGCTAACACTTTTCACCTGGGATACTCATAGCTAAGCCCAAAATGGATCTGCTGGCAGTGCTCTCCCCTCACTGTCATACAGCTGGCACCTGGCCATACCCCTGAGCAATAAAGCAGACAAAAGCGGAGCGAAAATGATGGAATAAACTCTAGGAGAAGCAATGGGCTCGTGCTAGAGTTTCAAGTCCTTGGCATACAAATCAGCTCTGGCTGACGGTATGGCAAGCAGGCCCCAAACTCTTCCCTTTCCAAGAGGGAGAGGAATTACAGCCCCAGTCCCATAGCTGATTGCTTTCTTGTTCAAGACTAAAAGCTTTATCCAGGATACAGTTATTTCAGCATTGACTTACATCACAGGCAAGTTTAGAAGATCATCGGGGGAAAAAACATATCTCCTCAGCAACAGCTCCCCATTGCTTTGCCTGAAAAACAGATATTGGAGTTTTAGAACGGCAAGGGAAGGACTTCTCAGCAAGCAGGGCAAAAGTAATTTCATGGCCACCACTTGAATAGCACATATGGATAGTTTGCCAAAGATGGTTTTAAAAATTAGAGAATTTATTCCACATTTGCTTTCATCACCTGTTTTTAGGAAGGAGCAACATTTATCCTCAAAAGTAGTTTTATTAATACTTCCAATAAACAGGCAAGGGTGAGGGGCCATCTTTCTGATGTTGCCATTTTTCTTCTCTCCCCATCCTTCTTTTCCCTCTTTCCCCTGCCATTGTAGCACAGGGGGGAGAAGAGAAAAAAAAAAAAAAAAAAAAAAAAGAAGAAAAAAAAAAAAGGAACTCTGATTATACACAGAAATTTCAGCTTATTTCTTCTTCCATTTGCATTTAAAATAACTAAATAAGGTTTTAAATATATATATTTCTCCCACACACACACACACAAAAAAAAAAAAAAAAAAAAATTCTTCCAAAATAAAGAAATGCTTCCAAAATGAAACAATTCCAACTCCACTCATTCACAAGCAACCTGGCTGTCTCTACAGTTAGGGCTCCATACTTGAAACCCCTCTCACAGAGGCATAACAAACCAACATTAAGATCGTTTATTGTTACTTGCTAGCTCAAAATTTCAGCTTTCCAGCTAAAACACCAGCCTGGATTCACAGCCTAAGAAGCACTAGATCCAAGGTCAGGATACCTAATCCTGAGGCCTCCTTTAATTTTACAATTGACAAATCCATTGCTTGTTGACATCCCAGAGATTATTTTCTGAGCTGCAGAGTGAGATTTTGATCCTAATTGGAGGATAAGCGGAGGGAAAAAAAAGAAAGAAGTAAAAAGAAAAAACTCACTTAGGATTTACCACCACTCTAAAGTCCACATTACACCTCTTGGTCTTCTCCTCAAAGGAAGCCAGGTGTTAATGGAGGCTTATTTATAAGGTAGGCTCCTATAGGCGGGGCTTGTATGGATGGGCAGGGCTAGAGCCCTCCATCATCCCTAATATCAACCTTGCCACCACCGTGGGGTAGACAACTCCAAGGCTGTCCTAGCCTAGGAGTAGTGCTGCTTAATAGAGGTTGAGTCCTTTAACTAACGCTCATTTCATATGTGGTCCAAATTAATCACACCTACCACTCTCTGTGCTAAAATCAAAGCCAGATCAGATGACAGAGCACCATTCAGTGCTGCACAGCAATACTTGGCCCAAGGTATTGCCTCTGAGTTAGGGGATGCCTAGCTGATTCCTCAGCTGGGATGTTTGTCTCAACACTGTCAAGATATAAAAGATCTGGGCCAACTCCTACAATTAATGGCTTCAGAATTATGCCCAATAGATTCAAAGCTAAAACTTCTGTAAAGCCTGTCCAAGTGCTGGCGTACAAAGCAGGATATAAATTCCCCTGGTGCATTCTGCAGATGCTCAGTGTTAGTTCAAGAGTGCTGCAAATTGATCAGAAGAGATGGGAAGAGTCGAGCATACCTTGACTGACTCTCCCTTCCACACTGAGCTCTATCACACGCTGAGCTGAAACGAGGTTGGCCAAGAGCCTTTTGGACGTGAGCGTGGAAACTGCACTGTGATGGCTGAAGCTAGGCCAGGACTTCGGTAGGATCTGAGTGGAGATTCTGGAGCCTTCCACCCATAAGGGATCACTAAAGCTGTGCTTTTTCAGGATCTGTGCTAGGAACTGCTAGGAACTCCATGCGGCAATATCTTTCCTAATAATGGCATTTTGTCTCCAGAAACAATGATCTGATATAACAGTAGAAGGAGCAAAAAATAAAGAAATCTTCAAATCTGCTTACTAGAGGCTCTCCTGTATGACTCTGGGACAATGTTCTCCCAGAAATATCACACTTGCTTGGTGACCTCGCTCATCCGAACTCAGGCCCTGCCAAGGTTTCCAGAAGACTGCTGAATCCTACTGAGAAAACAGCTCATCCAGCCCACTTTGTCCCTAGAAATACTTGAGCAAAAGCATGTGTGAATAACATTTACATATCTAAGATCTTCAGAAATGAAGTGACACCGACTGTTTTCCTAGCTAGCACTCAATTATTCTCATTACAATAAAAGGAGGAAGAAAAAAAAGGTTTATATCTGCCTGCAAAATCAGGTATCTGCTTTCAATAAATGTATCTGCATGTTGTCTTTTGTGTAGTATGGTGGAAAAAAAGCTGCTTTGCTCCTCAAGCCCCCTAGAAGTACTGCACCCCTATGAAGAGCACACACAGGCTGAGTCAATTAAAGCAGATTTCTATTTCTTTTAATTTAGCTCCAAGGAGCTAAATTTTAATTCAGTCTCCAAGAAGACCAAAAACAGCCAAGGGCTGCTGGAGTCAGAGAAAGCAGGGTAGTTGTTGGCACTTTGCTCGGTGTTAGATGCACAGGCATTATAGGAGCTGCAAAGGAGAGGAGGGGGCAGGTAATGGGAGGAAAGGGCCAGGGCAGATAGCCGAGGTCCACTGGTGAGTGCTCAGCTTGATCACTGACTGCCACCCCAGCACAGCTGTAAATAGGCCTCAGACTCCAGAGTCAGTCCCATTTTGTAGGCATGGGGTCTTCCCCATGTTATTACAGGCACCATTTGCTGGGGCACAGCTGGGTTCCAAATAGCTGTATTTACAACCAAACACACCAAGCCTCACTACACACAGACGCTACACACAGATTTATTAGAGGGTGGTGGGAAGAGAAAAGGGTCCATGACTCACTCCCACATTCGCATCGCTTAATGCAGTACATATGTGCCGCTTTAGCTGTAGCATCTGTATGTCCTTCCCCAATTCGTTTAGCCTTGGCTGCAGGCACACAGCAGCTCTGCTGGGTTTCTGGTGGGTTTTGCAGGAGAAGATGAGAAGGTTCATTTGAGGGCTTCTGAACTATTTAAAACATCCCACCCCATTCCTTTACTTTACAGCGGCTTAGGAAATACCACTGCCCTCTCCCTACACAGCACAGCAGATGTGGACTCGGGAACTTTAATGCAGCTTTAAACTGTTGCTATAGATTCATTGATTTTACTAGCTTCCCTCGGGACTTTATCTCTACTTCCTTCACACAACTCCTGATCAAAGCCAAGGGAAGGATAAACAGCACCAAGAGTCTGGAAACACTAGATATCCCTCTCCTTTCTGCACGACCACCATGGGCTCGTCCTCTCCATTTTCATAACTCTCCCCAGACTTGGTTTTTCGTTTGATGCCTCTTCTCTTGGCATATTCCCCATTCTGCTCCACAGCTCCTCACAGTCAGAGACCACTTGAGCTCAAAATGCTGAATTCCCCTGGGACCAGGTCCCTCATTCCCAACCTATGAGTCGCTTCCCCTCCTCAAACCTCACCTTTCAACTTTCATTTTCCTGCTTATGACTTTTTCTCTCTCCAAAGAGCTCTTTCCCCATATATTATTCAACTACAACCCTGTTGGTCTGGGTCGGAGTGTTGCTACTAGTTGCAGTAGGAAAGGGAGGTGTGTAAAGATACTGCTCAAACATGCTCGATCTTCCTTTAGTGCAAACCAGTGCAAGCCCCACGAAGCTGTGTTGATTGGCATCAGCTGAAAATGCAATCCATGTTTCAGTGATCACTTGGGATTTCCCTTCCGTCAGTAAAAACATCATCATTAACGGTGTTGATTGGAAATGTAAATATATCCATGTGAAAAAAAATGAAATGAAATGAAATAATGAAATGAAATGAAATGAAATGAAATGAAATGAAATGAAATGAAAAATAGAAATAAGAAAAGAAATTTCTATATTATTTTTATATTTCTTCCACTTCACCTGCTCTGAAACTGACACGTTTTCTATAATTTTCATCAGTTTTTTGCTGAAATTATTGTTATTTTTGGAAACCATCAGAAACATGGTTTTTAGTATGAAAATGTAGAGTCTGGCTAATAAAAGAATTACTATCAGGATTACTTCAAAAGCCATAATATAAATTACTGCTAATTTCATGAAAAAATATGAAAATATAATTAGTGCTAATGTACTTTCATAAAGTTTCATTATAAAAGAGCTTAAAAAATCTTTTTGCATATAAAACACCAGAAACTTTTAGCTCATCATAAAACGGCGCATGCTGTGGTTTGGGGTTTTGCAGTCCTCAGCCCCTGGCAATCCGCAGTGAAGGGACTTCCGAACTGCAGGATACAGCTGGACCTCCCAGCTTAATAGCCTATGATAGACACATCCCATATGAATTTGTCTTGTATAAAGCATTGAATCCCATGT